AGAGAGAGAGAGAGAGAGAGTGAGAGAGAGAGAGAAGAGAGAGAGAGAGAGAGAGGGTGGGGGTGCATGGGTGCATGCATGCGTACCTGCATGCGTCCCTATGTGCATGCGTCTGAATGTGTACTTGCACGAGTCAACGAAAACAACAGTAAAGCAGAATGACTTGCTCCGCCGTTGGCCTGGGGTCATGGCAACCACCCACCCAGCGCGGCGACCACCTGAAATATCCTTGGATTTTACGCCCACAAACATCAACCAGCGGGTAACCCACGTCAGCACCGTCGCCAAAAACCTTCCTGCGAAAACTCCCTCCGTCACTGCTGACACTCGCGGGGAAATCCCCTGAGGAAGATGTCGAGTGGTCGTGTTGCTTTCCTCTCTAGAAATCCCTCGAATGTACCTTCTTCCTCCATCTACGTCCTCTTCTCTACAGGCGACCCAACGGAAATAACAACCTCATCGCCGAGGACCACCACCGCGAACTGATGGGCTCGTGAGGTTCGCGGACGTACCCGGCAGAGGCGGACGCGACATGTGAATCCCATCACAACTTTTTCGTCACTCATTTCTGCGAAGTCGAATGGGTTCTCCGCAGCAACGACCTGCTGCATCAAGAAGAAAAAAGGCTGACTGACTGACAAGAAGACCCCCAACATGTATTTTAATGCCCATTCTTGAGGTATCGCTTTGCAACTTTGCACTGATCATTTAAGAATACGCTAATCTGATATTGCATTCTAGCCCTCTCATTCGCCCTCTCCCTCTCCAACACTCCCCCTTTCCCTCTCTACCTCACCCTCCGCGCACACACAAACCCGACGTGATCCACCAGCGAGCGTAGCCCTCATTTCCCCTCAACCAACGAGGTCTGCCCTTAGAGGCAAGTCCTAAAGACTTCACCCGCGTGGTTTTCCTGAACTAATTAGAGAGAGGCGCGAGGTGAGGCTGTCACTCGCGCCCACAATGACACTCCCGCCCGCCCACCCTGCCAAGACCTGCCCGCCTTCTGGCACTGCCCTGCTCGCGCCGTCGCCGCTGGGAACCCCGTGTTGGCTGCGCGCTGCCTGCGCCTCGACATGGCGCCTTGGAATGCTCGCTCGGGTTCTCTCCTGCGTGCCGGTGCACATTCGTTTTCGTAAGTACAATGTTGTGGTGTGTAGTAAGCAGTAAATAGTAGTAATAGTAATGGTAGTAGCAGAAGTACAAGCAGTAATAGTAATAGTAGTAGCAGAAGTACAAGCACTATCAGTATCAGTAGAAGTAGTACTACTACCACTAGCAGTGGCAGCAGCAGCAGAAGTAGTAGTAATAGTAATAGCGGTAGTAGTAGTAGTAGTAGTAGTAGTAGTAGTAGTAGTAGTAGTAGTAGTAGTAGTAGTAGTAGTAGTAGTAGTAGTAGTAGTAGTAGTAGTAGAAGTAGTAGTAGTAGCAGCAGTAGCAGCAGTTGTAATAGTAGTAGAGGTGATGGTGGTCATAGTAGTAGTCGTAGTGATGGTAGTAGCATTAGTCGTTGTAACAGTAGCAGAAATAATAGCAGAAGTCGTAGTGAGTTGTAGCTGAAGTAGTAATATTAATAGTAATAGTAGTAAGAGAAGTCGTAGTACTAGTAGCAGTAACAGTGGTAGAAGTCGTAGTAAAAGTATTAAAATAAGTCGTAGTAGTGACAATATCATTAGTAGTAATAGTAACAAGTAGGAATTGTAATAGCAATAGTAGCAATATAAGTCGTAGTACTTGTAGTAGTAATAGTCGCAACATAATAGTAGTAACATAAGTGTTATTAATAATAGTAGTAATAGTAGGAACTGAAATCGTAGTAATAGAAATAGCAGAAGTCGTACTATTAGTAGTTGTAATAGTTGGAGCAGAAGTCGCAGTAACAGTAGTCATAATAGAAGTAGTCGTAGAAGTAACCGCAGTAATAAAAGTTGCAGTCAAGAGTCATAATAGAAGTCGCAGTCACAGGAGAACGCGACTCAGAGAAATGAGTCATGTGGATATTCAACGCTAATAAAGAGTGCAGAAATTAAAAGGAGAGATAGCAATAGCAGCAGCTGTGGTGAAGTATTAACATCATGATCACCATCATTATCATTACCGTCACAATAATGTAACACAATTAAAGGCAATAATCGTATCATATCTTTATCATGGCTGCTACAGTTGTAGTTGTAGTTGTAGTTGTAGTAGTATTAGTAGTAGTAATAGTAGTAGTGGTAGTGGTGGTGGTAGTATTAGTAGTAGTTGTAGTAGTGGTTGTAGTAGTAGTTGTAGTAGTAGTAGTAGTAGTAGCAGTAGTAGTAGTAGCAGTAGTAGTAGCAGTAGCAGTAGCAGTAGCAGTAGCAGTAGCAGTAGCAGTAGTAGAGTAGTAGTAGTAGTAGTAGTAGTAGTAGTAGTAGTAGTAGTAGTAGTAGTAGTAGTAGTAGAAGTAGTAGTAGTACCAGTGTGGTAAGAATGACGATAAACACAAGTGATACACTAAAATACTTCATTCGCAAGAATTTATGTTCCTTGGCAGACAGTGCCTTAAGTTTCATTTCAGAATCTTGCAACTAGGCGTAAAAACGGTGTAAAATAACGTCACAACCGCAGCCACCGCCACAACAATGATAATAATAAGTCACACTTTAACACTCCCAAGTTCCGCCTCCCTGAGGCCCGGCCTCGCGACAAGCCGCGCCCTCGTAACTAGATCAGACCCACCAGGTCGAGGGAGAAAAATGCCGAGGTTCCTGAAACCCGACCGCCCTAATTTGAAGGGCTTGCTGAGAAAAAAAATCATGAGCGATTATTTTTCATCGATTTGTAACCAATTTCTGCATGAACAAGAGCATTCCATGTCGACTGGGTATTGCTTTTTTAAATAACCTACCTGCAAACTTATTTTTACCATGTACCTGGAACCTTAACACTTTTAACTTAGCCTCTTGACCCCCATTGCCGTGTAGGTCAAGCCCCTCTTGGTATCAAGCCATTCGCAGCATCCAGACGTCACTTCCTCTTAGGCCTAGACACCCTATCTCGCCCATTCATCTAGAGTGTTCCTTCCTTTTTTGTCTTTATTGAGGAGACACCCATCATTAGCACTCCGGTCATCTGTCATCCTCCTCCAACCGCGGCACTCACCGTGGTCTCGCCTCACGCTTGTTCGTGCCACACCTCTGGGAACTGCTACCTTTCTCCTCCTTTGCCGAATTTGCCGAATGATGAGACGGGAAAGGCACTGCTACATCCTCCAAAACTTAGATTCCCCTCAAATTCCAAAACCTAGACCCTCCCTTGCTACCAAAGCGATCGTCCGCAGTCATAACTCGAGTCCCACGGCAATGTTGCTCCCCTCAGAGACAAGGCCTTCGTCACCGCTGCGCCCAATAATCAACGCAATAGGCGACAGGGGCAGAGGGGAAGGGCAGCCCGACATGATTAGCCCGTCTCAATGCTTGAGCCATCTGTTACCATCAAGCCAGGCTCGGTCACGTGGGACTGTTTATCACCAGCACCTTGTCATCGCCATCATACCTGCAGCTACGAGACCTTGTGCTTTGTTTATGTCCCAGGCCCTAATTGATGCCCAATGCCACAATAACAAGTATAAGCACTTGGCATCAATTACCATAATAAAACCTGATAGCCCGTCACGGCAAATCAGTTATTACGACCGCCATTCTTTACGATTTGAAATGGCACTGAAATATTGTTTATGGGACGTGACTAAATAGGTCTTACCGGATGAAATAAGAGAGGGTTACAGAGGAGTAGGATAAAGGAAAAAGAAATCCGATATGAAGGAAATAAAAGAAAAGGAATAAGAAATACGCCGATATACGTCTTAGCTAAGACTTTCTCTCAAGGCACTAGGCAGGCAGACGACTCATGTGACCCACGACCACCAATGAGAGACAACATAACCTAAACAATGACACAAGGACATCAGTTGAGTCAACACTTTATCTCAACACTGTTAAACCCCAAGTCCGCGGGGTACGGAACCCTACAACCTAAACCAGTAATAAAGAAGGACGAAACATCGTTGTCATTCTTTTCGTAATCAACATGACGCCACTACCCACACCCCTTAAAATCAAGTCGATCCTACCGCTCACTGCAAGGCAGGCGGGCTCTAAGAACCACTGCGAGGTAATACGACACGGAAATACCAGCATCTAAATAACACAACGTCATGTAGATGCGACAACAATAACGCAGTCTGCTCGTGGGATGATTTAGGTCAACATGAATAAAACATGTTTGCAAGCTTTCACTCCTTTTATCTCAAGATTATCTTAATAACAATGAAACCGACGCCCGAGAGGGACGGAAAGAAACGAGAAAATAAGAAAAAAAAACTACTTTACGACCAGGATTAAACACAATCCAAAAAAAAGTCAGAAAAAAGAGAGAAAATCCAGAACCCCGAGACGAGTATGTCAAGGACCTCACGGGGCGCTGAAGGTGTCTTCTTGTGGTGAAGACGTGTGAACATTATCCCGACTTACTGGGTAAAGAAGATGCACTTCATCTTAGATCCTCCTTTGAAGGGGTTCTTTGCATCAGCGGTAAAGGAGGAGAGGGCGGAGGAGGAGGAGGAGGAGGAGGAGGGAGGAGGAGGAGGAGGAGAGAGGGAGAGGAGGAGGAGAGGAGGAGGAGGAGGAGGAGGGGAAGAGGGAGGGAGGGGGAAGAAGAAGAGGTGGATAAGGGGAGGAGGAAGAGGAGGAGAGAGAGAGGGAGGGGAGAGGAGGAAGAGGAGAGAGGAGAGGAGGATAGGAGGAGGAGGAGGAGGAGGAGGAGGAGGAGGAGGAGGAGGAGGAGGAGGAGGAGGAGGAGGAGGAGGAGGAGGAGGAGGAAGAAGAAGAAGAAGAAGACTAAGAAAAAAGGAGAGAAGGAGGAGAAGACGAGAAACGCAGAGAGCAGGAGAAAGGGCGAGATTAGAAAAAAAACAGTCAAAATCAAACAACTGATCACCTTCCTCCACCGTGCTGACACCGACTTCGAATACTCACCGAGAGCTCAGGAGGATATACGATGAAGTGGCGCAAAGTGAAGCCGAAGCCGTGGTCAGTTCTGCTGATGGTGATGAGACGAGGACCACCACGTGATGTCTGTAAGAAGAAAAATAATTATGGTAATCCCTCCAAAAATTATGATAATGATAATTACTAACTAATAATAATAATAATAATAGTAATAGTAATAATAATAATAATAATAATAATAATAATAATAATAATAATAATAATAATAATAATAATAACAACAACAACAATAATAATAACAATAATAATGATACTAATTATAACATTATGAATAATAATACAAAAATACTAGAAACAGCCGGGGTGAAAATTAAAAAAAAAAACTGTCACGTGACCAGAGCGTGATCGACAAATATCAGCCTCTCAAAGGTAAAGGAAATCGAAACGCAAGAAGCCAAGGAGAGATAATCACCGACCTTCTTGGCCTTGGAATGAGGGCGACAAATAATGGAAGCTACGGAGGTCGTTAAGGGCCCCCGTGTGATTATCCGCAAATCGACGTGGGCGCTCGCGATCACTTTCACGTGGAGAGCCTCGCCAAACCGTCAATTTTTGCGGTCTTTATCATCACGGATGGAAATATCGAGCCATTTGGCACTCTCCTTTTCCGCTGGGTCTTTTCCTTCACTTTCAAGTTTTTTTCCCAATGTCTCTGTGAACCGCACCTCATTCCCCGTCTTTCTTCTTCTCCTCTTTTTTTTGTCTTTCTTTCTTTCTTTCTTTCTCTCTCTTTCACTCTTCTATCATTCTATTTCTATCTCTTTCTTTCACTCTCTGTTTCTCTCTCTGTCTTTCTTTCTCTCTCTGTCTTTCTTTCTTTCTCTCTGTTTTTCTTTCTCTCTCTGTCTTTCTTTCTCCCTTCATCTCTCTTTCTCACCCCTCCATCAATATCTTTCTCCCTCCCCCTCCTCTTTCCTTCACTTTTCTTATATCTCTTCTCTCCCTTGCTCACCCTTTCCCTTTCCCTCCCTCCCCCCTCCCATTAAGCCTGAAGATCCGTTTCAAAGAGGGGTGTAAAAGTTAGGGCAGCCCCCCCCCCAAAAAAAAAAAAAACACCTGCCACCACCGCCAGCGTACACAAACCACCTCCTGCGATCTTACAAATCCAACATCGACACTCACGACCAAAAAAAACAGACCAAGGTACCCGATCTACATACGCCATTGCAGACGCACACGAGCAAGTTTCAAGTCGCTCCAATACGGAACTTTGAGAGTGCTTTGCCTTGGGGAAAAAAGACAGACAAACGCAGAACTTCCTATCCCACTTGCCTATCCATTCTCTTCCACTTCCCTTTCCTTCACTTTCCCTCTACAACTCTGACCGAGGAGAGACGTCCCGGCCAAGCGCTCCTCCCTCTCCTCTCGCTCCCAAAGTCCGCTCCCACGCCTCCCCTCGCGACGAGTTCGTACACACATATTTCATGTGTCCGTCTTCATATCTACGCATGTTTTATACATACATATATGCAATTTTCTTCCATATCTGCAAACGTGTTTCATACATAAATTCATATTTATATATATAGATCGACGCAGCCACAAATAAGGATATTCGGACATACTTTATACATTAACTCATATCGTTTAAAAAATGCCATGTATTTATACTGAAAATAATCCAAATTAAATGGAAAAGATACTTACACGTACGCACGCATGCTCCAACGCGTACACACAACTACAGACACAGCCACAGACACGCACAGCCAATACACGTCTCCGCGCCACCATTTATCCCACCGACACGACTCTCAAACGCGAGGACAAACAGATTAAGTAGCCCGACTCCTTGCTCACAAACCATACTCCTTGTCATTATCCTTCACCATCCATCTTCATACATCTGGCCCTTTTTCACCCTTCTATCCTTCCATTCTTTGGCACTGAGCCTTTCCGAGCACTATTATTCTTCCTCATTTTGCCATTTATCACACACTTACCCCTCCCCCTTTCCTCGCACGTCTCTCTCTTAATTTTTATTTCTTTCCCCTTCCGTGTCTCAACCTATCTGCCATACTCGCTCGCCGGTCTTTATTAGTCTCCCTCTTCTTCGTATTCTTCTTTCATCCCTCTTCCACGTTCTCTGGGAAAATGTGGATCAGCTCTTTCCTCTCTCTCTTTTTTTACATCCTTACCCTTTCATTTTACTCAGATTCTATTTACTTAACGTTCTGTGTCCAATTCAATTCATTGTCTCTATTATTTCGTCTATTGTGTTGCATTCCCTCACTTCCATTTCCTGCATTGTGTTCATTCCCTTCCTTAACCATTATGTTATGTTCCCTTTACATAATCTCATTTACCCATTTCCTTGCGCCTTCCTTGTGCCCCATGTACAAACTGCTTTGCGAAACCCACCATCTTGGGTCCCACTTACTTGCTGCTGTGTTTCCATTCACTCACAGTCTAGTGTTCTATTTTCTCACACTCCGGTGTTCTCATTTGTTCACAGTGTCGCGTTCCCATTTACCCAGAGGCGGCGTCTCCCTCTCCGCCTCGCCCGCCGCGCCCCCGTGTCACTGCCTCCCCATGATTGCATTTAACCAACAATTTATCTAAAATGCTTCCGGGTCCCTTCTTTCGCCTCCCCGCCGCTCCCTCTTCCTCTTTCACACACATACACCTAGAGCCCCCTGGCCGCCCCTAGTCCCCCTTGCCGCTTACCCACTTGCTCCCTTCCCCTTACTCACTCCCTCTCCACCCACCCACCCGCCCATCCTCCACTCCCTCCGCCCACTCACGCCCGGGAAAACAAACAGCAGCTGGCAAGGTGAAGGGTTATGGCTTCCCCGGGCAAAGGGGGCGAGGCTCTTTTTTTAAGGGGACCTCGTTAGCCCTGATGAAATATGAGCGCATGTGATCACGTCCTTCAATTTCTATAATGAAATCCTGCACGAACGACTTAGTATGTACCTCCCTGGACCTTCACCGAATCCTCGACTTCAAACACAGCTTTATCTTTACCTTCCCTGTTCTTGTCTTCCTCTTCATTCCTTCTCATTCTATTTTATCATACTCCTCATGCGCTTCTTCTTTATCTTTTCCCTTTCCCTTTTCGGTGTGTCTTACTCATGCAAGAAATACCTCAACCCCTTCTATACACTTCCTTGTCTTTGTTCGCCCCCGGCACTTCGCTGGATCCTGCAGCGTGCAAAGTCCTCAAGGATCCTCTCCATGTTACAGGTAGTGTCGTGTTGCCTTACTGCAACCCCCTCCTCCTCCCCTCCCCTCCCCCTCTCACGCGAAGACCAGCCTCACAACCGCGTCCTGTTCCGCCAAAAAAACGCTACTCACCCAGAGAAAAGTACAAAAGTTGGCGTCATCGTGTAACTACACGCGTCCCTCTTACGCAACACCAACTGCATCCGAAGACCCACTCAGAGCGATACGTATCTCCTTCAATATTTTGGTAGCGCACCTATAACACCCTAGCCAGCCCTCCCCCCTCTGATCCCCTGGGCTGGGTCCGTCGCTCTACAAACAAGACGCCCCGCCGCAAGATGGACGAGGATGTGTTATCTCTTTGTAACGTTAGGCACGGAGAGGCAGCTTCGTCCGGTAGAAAAAGTTGGGAGGAAGAAAGCGCAACTTTACGACGTAAAAGTTGCAACTGACGTGCTTGTGTGTTATTCATTTGCATCAAAATTCATTCCGATGAAGATAAAACATCGAAACGCGTCCATTACATTCCTCACTCTGAATCATATGTTCTCATTCAGACCCATTTGAGTTTGTCACTATGAACTCCGAGCGCCATCGTGCTGGGGGGTCTCCGACGCAGTAAATGCGCCACTGCAGTTCTTATGAAGCGTAGCCTGCCTAAAACAGACTGGGAATATTGAAGGCGTACTTGATTATTTTTCTTTGCGTAGACATTTTTTTTCTTTTGCCGACACCAAGCCCCTTTTTTAGATGGTTAGACAAAAGTAAAATCCAGTTTAGTTCGAAACTATTATAGCTAAAAAGGCAAACATTACCCTTGGCACAAAATTTATAGCGCCAAGGAACTAAACAAAATATACGAAAAAAATGTCGTTTTATCTACTTCTAGGCTTCGTCTTTTTCACTGCACTTTGAGCAAAATGAGAGGGAAATTATCTATATTGACACTTCTTTCCACGTACAGTAATTCTAACTCAGTCAGCAACTAAATCTGTATCGACACTACCTACCATTTCTTGCCATCAATCGAGATACCGGTCAAAAAATGTGAAAAATGCAATCCGTTAAACACAAACCACTTACGCAATAAAAAGGGACCTTTACCATTTTGTTCGCCAGAGAAAGTTAACCCGCATCAGTGGGATTCGCGGGGCCTTGGAGGACGAACCGCGAAGGAACACAACCGCAGTTACTAACTCGGCATCCCGCAATGGCCAACTCCCCTTCGGCGCATAACGTTCAATCGACCCTTGTCAAGATTGCAGTCGTCGAATATTTTGGAAGAAATAAAAACGATTTGGGGCGGCTGTTATCAACAAGCCACAACAACGAAGAAAGAAAAGAGTTCGAAGCAAAAGGAATCGCACTCGCCGCTTAGGAGAGCACCCTTAAGCAAGGACAGTGTTCAGAGTTAGGAATTAGCTACAGCCATCGTTAAGCCCCGAGTCCAGGGCAATAAAGCAGCTCTAAAATGCGCCAAGCTGCCATAGAAAGGACGATTGGAAGACTTGACTAAACACGGTTTATTTGTGTTAGGTGAAATACGTGCTCGCGCCAAGTCGAACTTGCACGGCGTCCCTTCACCAGAGTAAACACGCCCGCGCTTGGAAATACATCAACACGCCTACCAACGTTACGGCGCACACTTTGAGAGTAACACGACCCAACTCTGTGCTCATCGTAACGAGTGCTAAAAAGGCAAGTAGGTTTTATTAATTAAATGGCAATTTACAGATGTCCGCCAAAGGGTATTCCTCCTACTAGGATGCATCCTTTCGCCATACGCTAGGTCTTACAGGTCCTCGGGACTCGGTTGCTTCATTCTTGTCAATCTCGACCAGGTTAAATTGTTACGTAAGTGCCTGACCATAATCTTGCTATTACCCAACCAAGACCCAGAT